TCTCAAGGTTTGCAAGGATGAAAAAATAAAATAAAATCCTTAATTGTTGGGAGAAAGAAATGGAATAGAGTGCCGAGGAAGAGACTATGGCTGACTGACTGGAACAGGACCAGCCCCTGCTACATTTCTCTCTCCATTGTTCCCCTTCCTTCCCCTCTGCACCCTAAAGTACAATTTATTTCATCTTCCTGCAACACAGGTTTTGCTGGGCACCACCTTCTGTCAGTCCACCTTCTTTTACATTCTCCACTGCATAGCTCACACTCCTCTGCTCTTTCTCTCTCTCTCTCTACAACTACAACTCCAGTGAGCGTAGTTAATGAAAAAGGATGTTTTATTGTCAAAACAAACAGATTGCTCTGGATGGCTCTAACACAGCCTCCACCATCATCAATCAAGATGACCCTTCTGAAGACTGCTTCTGGCGTGACGAGAAGCAACTGAACTTTCACTTCATACTTCTTTTGTTTTGCTTCCTATCTTGCAGCCCTCCCATTCGCCAAGACCTCAGACTGAATGGGTCAGCTCCCTCCCCTTCCCCATTCTCTGAGAGACTGTCTCTTAACTCTTTCCCGCCTGTTTGTGCTTCCGGCAAGCTTTGACTGCTCTCAGCCATTCCCTTATCAACTGGCATTCCAAGGGGCGGGGGAGTTGGCATTAGCCGATGCTCATCCTGCATGGCAGTTAGCCCTCTCTGTTCCTGGCTGCTTTCTTCAGTTGGCTGCAACCCTTCCCTGGGAGCTGGCTCATTCCTGACAAGACATGAACCCTTGTATAGCACCCTCTTTTGTGCATCCATGCTATCTCTTATTTTCATGAGTGGCAACTTAAGTTTAGAAAATTGTAAGTCAGTTAATAGTTACGAGAAGCTCCCCCCCCCCCCACTTCAGAATTCACAAACAGGCACATTCATTGTGGGGTTGCAGTATCTATATTGAATTGCATATGTGGTGATGAAGCCCCTGCCCCTGAATAGCTGGTATGTTGTGATGTCATGGGATGTTCATGGATCAGGAATTTTATATATATCAAGGGGTGGGGGTGGGGGGTTGACTGTCTGACAGCTAAGAACATGACGGCACTCAAGCATAGGGATTTGAACAAAATTCACATTTCTCAAAATTGCTTACAAAATACGAAATTCACTGTTTTCATGCCTTCACTGAAGTGAGTGCACATTGAGTGAAATTCTGCAGGCATTCGTGGGATTATGATGCCCTGGACGATGTTATTTTCAAAATGTTTTTTTAAAAAAACCATTTCCATAATAATCCATCCTGCTACATTAGCTGCACTTTATGCTAGTAATCTTTCCACATACAGATGTCTGTAATAAAATTATGTTACGCATTATCTGTTTCATGGCTGGAATTCATGTTCCAAAACATACATCAAAGTTTTCAAAAGCAGTTATGGAATCTTGAGAAAGAGCATCAAAATCACAAGGGAGAATGAGCCATGAAACAGGAAGGGCTCAACAATTTGTGAAAAACGAACAAAGTGAGATGGCATCATGAAATACATAAATCAAACTATTTTGCGATCTCTTATAGTTAGTTTGATATGCATTTGCCTGAATTTTGCAATTTTTCCTGGCATCAGACAACCTGCTATTAAAACAATGCTGTTTGAGAAACTTGTTGAGCTGGAAAAGATATAAACTGGAGATATAAAATGAGCATAGTGTAGAGTAGATCAATATAGATAAGTTGTCTCCCCTCTTTCAAAACACTGAAAGGCTTTGGTCTTTCAGTCTCAATCAACAGGACTCTTCTTGTGTCCACATGGTCTTTGTTCTTTCATTCTCATGCAACCATCGTTCATAATCTCTTGTTCGAAATGAAATATATATTTTTGAAGTTCTTGCTTTTGTATACTTGACATTTGTTTTGCTCAAATAAAAAACACTCATAAACCATTGGCATGCCTTCTTGGCATAGCTTGCCAAAGCTCGTTCTCCTGGAACTGGGCACATACAGCATCATATTTTTGCATATCTCTGGATGGAACTAGGCTCCAGAGAGCACACCTGTATGTTTCTAAGTAAAATAAAAAGTGGCTAAGTAAGCCTGTTTTCATTTGTAAAATGTTGTAGGCATCCTGTCAATAGTTGTTCAGTGATTTATAGCCCCATTTTGATTCTCCATAGATCAACCACTCTGTATAGGACAACTCCATATATCAATCTTTATAGAGCTTGTTAGGCACATAAATCTGAGGTCTTATTGTCACATTAACACACATTTCAAGTCATACACAAAGGAATATTGATCCTCTTCCTTTCCATCTAAGTCTACCTCCCAACGTTGTTATTGGTACTTGTGTAACAGTTAAATTAGAGATCAGGATTAATTCAAACTGACAGAGCATTAAAAAGACAGATGTTTCTGGTCAGGCTGAAAAAGTAACATGATAATCAGGAATGCAGCACACAATAATTGCAATGTACTTTGTGTGCAGCCAGAATCTGAAAATTACTTTTTCAAATACTATACTAAAAAATGTTACGGTTGGAAGCCACAAGCTACTTACATATGGTAGGTGAAGAATCATAGATGTTAGATTATTCTACATGGATCACAACTATAGTGAGTAATATGAGACAACAAGAAGCTATATTACTTCATCTGGGTGGGTGGGTGGAGCTATTTGCATCTTTCTTCAATGCCAATGCCCTCATTTTAACAACAAACATGAATTCAAGGATCGTATTCTACAACATTAACTTTCCAGTTCTCAATTTGGGGTGTGTGTGTATATGTTATAGCATGGAGTTTGTGATATTAACAGTGCTTGTCTACTCATCAGTAAGTCTAACCAGCTAAGTGGATATAGGATTGTAATCCATCACCCTCTCCCTTTACTTGGGTTCATATTTACAAGTGACTTGAAACTTAGTTTTCTCTATGGCGTGTTATTACCCTTAATCTAAGGTTCCCAGAATTTGTAGAAATAGTGCAAGTACTTCACCTTAAAACATTACTTTGCATATATGTTTTACTTCATTTCATCTCTGTGATGCGCAGTGTGCAGTAAAATGAAAGGAAATAAAGAAGCCACATTTATGTAGCTGGGAATACCCACAATTTCTGTTTTGGTAACTGCTCACATGAAACCCTCCATGCACTGAAAGAACACATGGAGGGGTCTTCAGGTCCACATGTTCCACTGGTGTCTACCACTGCCACTGAGACAAGTAACTGCTGCCATGCTCCCTGATAACTCTATGTTCAGTAGACACTGGAAGGAGTTCTATGCAGTGGGTGGAGCTTCTCCATGCAGGAAGCATCCCAGTTGTGCAGGGTCCTCCTCATATGGCAGAGCTCTGCTCATATAAACTGTGCATACACAAAACTGCTTCCAATATTCAGTGTGTGGACATTGGGGGGAGCATGACAACATGTAGTGTCAGTTGTGGGCAGGGCTAGCCTGTGTGAGCCTATGGGAGTGTGCTGGGCCTGGGGGTAACCCATGAAACGCGGTCCAGGACCTGTCCAGAATCCAAAGGTTCCACTAGGTGTCAGTCCGACAGGGCCAAGGCAGGACACCAGGCAGGACAGGTACAGGATCTCAGGCAGGATCTAGCATACAGCAATGTTGCTCCCACAGCCTGGGGCGGGGTCCGACATCCTTTTATCTTTGTCAGGGTAATGGCTGGTCCTGATCCCCTGGTGACTCACCTCCCTGTTTCACCCGAAGGTGAGCACTCCTCCTGCGAGTACTCAGGTCTCTCCTTCTTTCAGACCTTAGTCTCTGCAGCTCGGGAGATGTCAGTGGGTTACTAGACCCAGGGGCCGCCTCAGCCTCCCCTGACCCAACTGGTAGTGGAGCAGCTGTAAGTGATGGCTCAGCTGAAGGCAACGAGGTAATCCCCGCATGTGGAGCCAGGGCAGGCTCAGGCCCCTGACTCAGCCCAGCTGGTGTTTGTTGCAGGGGAACCTGTGCAGACTGGGACTCTTCAGAATCAGGCCCCAGACTTGGTTCAGATGATGCCTGAGGCAAAGGATCTGGTGCAGACTGAGACTCCTCTGGTTCTGAATCTGAGCCCGAGTCCCAGGCCACCACAGGGAGGAACTCAACAGCACACCAAGACGATAATCCTGTCAGGCTTGCCAGATAGAAAGATCTTCCCTCACTCCTACAAGCTGCTGTGGGATTTTTCCTGGACACCCCCTCCCCCCTGCCTTCACAGTTATATGCCTTTATATATATAACTGCTATATATATGCATTTTTAAGTGCACTTACCTGTAATATATATGTTTTCTGCACACTTTCTTTTTCTTTTTTGCCTGGAGAATTGTGAATTTTGAAGGGTAGTGGCTGGTGTATTGTTTGGGAGAGTGTGAATTAATTATATTTGTATTAAAATGCAAACCAAGCCAAATTTCTCCCCATCCCTAGCAGAGAGCACAAGGTAACCTTAATATGGCGACCACATTGCCTGAATAGATTTCGTCAACTAGCATCACAGTGCTGAGAGGAATATTCTTGCTTATTTGATTTTGTAATGCAATTTGTATTTGAATATGTAGAGTGAGTAAGCATACCGAAAGCAGTTGCATTATACTCAGCTGTAAATAGAAAACTGATGCAGCTATAAATCTTCCGAAACCGCATGCTAGCAGCTAACATAATTTATCTTAACCTACAGTAAAAATGCAATGTTTTCATACCCATTGCTTATCTCAATAAACATAATCTTACACATAATTTATGTAGCGTAACTTTAAATCTAGAAAGATATATTAAACATCAGGGGTCACATAATTAACTTCCAACCTGTTTGGGAAATTTGGGTACTGATGTGCTTACATAGTTTAGGCTTTGGTGTTGCCCTCCTTGCTTCAAGCACAGAGAGAACAGAAGCTCCGCCTTGCAGATTTTATGCACACCGCAAATCTCCCAAACCATGTAATACAGCAGGCGGCCCCCAACCCACCAAGATACAGAGTGCCTCTGATGTTCTTTTTAGGACCTCCAGTTTCCAAGGCTGCCTATGCCTGGGATAGCTCAGTTGGCAGAGCATGAGACACTTGATCTCAGGGTCATGGGTTCAAGCCCCACACTGGGCAAAAGATTCTTGCATTGCAGGGGGCTGGACTAGATGATCCTTGGGGTTGTGTCCAACTCTACAATTTCAGACGGTGTTTCTGTGAAACAGGGAGGTGCATGGAGACTTGGGGCTTATCCACACGTACCCTTTGCCCTGCTCTTTCCAGATAGAGAGCTGTGCTAAGCAGGGAGGAGGAATTCATGCGTATACCAAGCAGCTGTAACAGGCCGTGTTAAGTATTTTGTGATCATTTGGCAAGCCTACTGAGGAGTGAATTAGTTTTAATTGTCTAATTTGTTTATTATATTTCTGGTAAGCAATCCAGTGGTGCCTCGGGTTACAGATGCTTCAGGTTACAGACTCCACTAACCCAGAAATAGTATCTCCTGTGTCAGTGCCTAAGATTCCCCTGTGTGAGTGCCTAAGGGCCCCGCTCCTGCCACTCACCACCTGGCCCAGGGCGGGGCCTGAAGCCCCATTAGGACAGTTGCTGCTACTGCTGCTGCTGTCCAGGAAGACTCGGAGGGGCGCAGAGTTCTTTTAAAAATGTTTTAAAATTTTCTTTTTCCCTTTTGAATTTTTTGTATGTGGGGGTGGGATGGATGTTTGGTTGGGCTTGGGAATTTGTTTGATTTTGATGTATTTGTAATTTTTACAGTTTTTTGTTTGTATTGTTTTATTGTGGGGTTTTTTAAAAAGGTTTTATTTTGTTCTTAAGGGGAGGGGTCAGGGCTGCCGGGGAGTGGGTCCTAGCCAACAAAATGGCTGGGGCATGTTCCACAGGGGGCGATGCACTGGGACAACCAATCTCAGTGATCACGGGTAGGAGGAGGAGTTATGCTAAGAGGAGACCATGTCATTACAGAGGAGGCAGGTTTAGTCGTTGTCTGAAGACTATCCCTGCCTCCGGGTCTGGTCCTAACCGGATGGATACTAGATACTAGATTCTCGCCGCATTATGGGACTGAAACTGCCTTGGTCGCACTGGTTGATGATCTCCGGCGGGCTAGGGACAAAGGTGAGAGCTGTTTCCTAGTTCTGCTGGATCTCTCAGCGGCTTTTGACACCAACAACCATAACATCCTTCTGGACCGTCTAGAGTGGCTGGGAGCTGGGGGCACTGTTATACAGTGGTTCCACTCCTTCCTCCTGGGCCGTGTTCAGAAAGTGGTGGTGGGGGATGAGTGTTCAGACCCCTGGGCTCTCACTTGTGGGGTGCCTCAGGGTTCTGTCCTCTCCCCCATGCTTTTCAACATCTACATGCAGCTGCTGGGAGAGATCATCAGGGGGTTTGGGCTGGGTGTTCATCAGTATGCGGATGATACCCAGCTCTACCTCTCTTTCAAATCGGAACTAGTGAAAGCAGTGAAGGTCCTGTGTGAGTGTCTGGAGGTGGTTGGAGGATGGATGGCGGCTAACTGATTGAGGTTGAATCCTGACAAGACAGAAGTACTGTTTTGGGGGACAGGAGGTGGGTGGGTGTGGAGTATTCCCTGGTCCTGAATGGGGTAACTGTGCCCCTGAAGGACCAGGTGCGCAGTCTGGGAGTCATTCTGGACTCACAGCTGTCCATGGAGGCACAGGTCAATTCTGTGTCCAGGGCAGCTGTTTATCAGCTCCATCTGGTACGCAGGCTGAGACCCTACCTGCCCGTGGACTGTCTCACCAGAGTGGTGCATGCTCTGGTTATCTCCTGCTTGGACTACTGCAATGCGCTCTATGTGGGGCTACTTTTGAAGGTGACCCGGAAACTACAACTAATCCAGAATGCGGCAGCTAGACTGGTGACTGGGAGCAGCCGCCGAGACCATATAACACCAGTCTTGAGAGACCTACACTGGCTCCCAGTACGTTTCCGAGCACAATTCAAAGTGTTGGTGCTGACCTTTAAAGCCCTAAATGGCCTCGGTCCAGTATAGCTTAAGGAGCGTCTCCACCCCCATCGTTCTGCCCAGACACTGAGGTCCAGCGCCGAGGGCCTTCTGGCGGTTCCCTTGCTGTGAGAAGCCAAGTTACAGGGAACCAGGCAGAGGGCCTTCTTGGTAGTGGCGCCTGCCCTGTAGAACGCCCTCCCGCCAGATGTCAAAGAGAAAAATAACTACCAAACTTTTAGAAGACATCTAAAGGCAGCCCTGTTTAGGGAAGCTTTTAATGTTTAATAGGTTATTGTATTTTAGTGTTTTGTTGGAAGCCGCCCAGAGTGGCTGGGGAAACCCAGCCAGATAGGCGGGGTATAAATAATATATTATTATTATTATTATTATTATTATTATTATTATTATTATCTTGGGTTAAGAACTTTGCTTCAGGATGAGAACAGAAATTGGGTGGTGGCTGCAGTGAGAGGCCCCATTAGCTAAAGTGGTACCTCAGGTTAAGAACAGTTTCAGGTTAAGAATGGATGTCCAGAATGAATTAAGTTCTTAACCCGAGGTACCACTGTACATTGGAATTAAAGCGGTTCTAAAATGGTTTCCACTGCTCTGTTCTAAGCTGATTTGTCTTAGAGCATTAGCAGTTTTATATGCTTTAACAAAAGCATCACAAAAATATCCTTAAACATATTTGTGAGACAAAAGAAGGGTTGTTCTTTATAAAAGACAGATTCTTGGCCTGGTATCATTCTATGCAAGCAAATTAATTTAGAGTTAACTGTTTCAGGTATAAGCCAAAAATAGTTTTTCATCATTTTGAAATGACTTTGAAAAAGGAGGTAATACTTGTGTTAAAAATGATCACTAGATTTTCATAAAACTTTTCTGTGACTATTTTCAATTACTATTTGGACTAATTGGTTCAAAAATGTGAGAAAATTTTAATTGTTCCCTTTTTATAATAGGTTATTAAGTTTCCATTTTAAGTATTCCAATTAAGGTTCAATGTGTATTTAAAGGATTTTCCAGAGCCAAAATATCTCTCACTACTAATTGTTGCTATGAATGCATTTCACTTGAACACTATGACACATTGCCAAAATATTTAAGCTCTTCGGTGCAGCTCTCTAGAAACTTGAATATCTCACATAATTAAGAGTGACTTTGGCCAAGTGGATAGAACAAGTTAGTCTTGGGTTTCTGTATATTTAAACTTTGGCTACTACCACACCGATGGTTGGACAGTGTTCTCGAAGCTTCCAGCATGAGTTTGACCAAACTGTAGGAGGCAGTGGTAGACAGGAGTGCCTGGCGTGCTCTGGTCCATGGGGTCACGAAGAGTTGGACACGACTAAATGACTAAACAACAACAACTACCACACCATTGACTGAATTCACCAAATCTAGAAAACAAAAGCACCACAAGACCTACAATGTCTCTACATGACCCTGTATTCCAATAGGAACCAGGGTGGAATTGGAGGCTAGAGTGTTATCAACTGAGGAGCTGTACAAGGTTTCTAGTCTGAGTCTGGTCAACCCTGAATGGCTACCTTTAATCAATTATGATGGACAGCAAGTAGTAGGCTGTATCATGACAGCATCATATGCACATCCTGAGGCCTCAAAAATGGAAACTAAACCCATAAAAAACCCAGAATAATTGATGACCATGCCCCCCCCCCGTCATGGGCTTTGACTTTCATTGATGACCATTTTTTTCTTAACATGGCTTTACATTCAAGATGATGGCTTGAGAAGTGGGCAAACATGGTACCAAATCTGCACAATCAGCTCTTGATTCCCCAAAGAGGAAATGAGGAAACAACTGTGCTTTGGTTGAACCTACACTCCTTAATTCCTAACGGGCTTCCAAGACGTATGAGGTTCTTGATTAGATAGTACAAAATACAGGAGTGTATATTTTTGAAGCTGTTTGTAAGTCTCTGGAGGTATTTGAGTAGAATCCCTCTTTAAAGGCCCTCTCTGACCTCTCTGTCTCCTCAGATGACTTGACTAAGTGAATCTTTAGTTCTTTCTGTTTCAATGTTTTATTAATTGATTAAATACAGGAAGCATAAATCATTCATGTTATTAAGAGCATTCAAATATTCATGAGACAAAATGTTTGCTATTATGTACCAGAGGTTAGATTTCCCCTCCCCCTTTGAATTTTAAAGCTAGGGAGGAAATAAAAGTGCAATAGCATACAGTAGATGTATTTATTTGCTCTATGAGTTTATGTATTCATCAACTCCTTCCATTCTTACTTGGGCAAACGATCATGAAGTAGATTTACCTCTCCCCACCCCCCAATCTGTAAATAGCAATCCATTTCTTTTCTTAGCATTTTCCATTACTTTCCAATTCACTGCTCATAATTTCAGTCGATAAATACAACAATTTTAAGTTGGTGCACACCAGTACAGTTATGCTGGTAGCAAAGGAACTTGGGATGGTTTTTTACATAAAAAAAAATACTGAAACAGATTGAAAATCACAAATGTTGATATATTTTAACACTTATTATATTATTTTAGTGTCTAAATTTGTCTTAGCATTTCTGACTGAAGTTGTGTGAACAGAGAGCCAATATGGAGGAGGCTGCCATGCGGTCAATATGTAAAGCAACTAAAACATGTTGCTCGATAGCATTACCTGTCACAGAAGCAGCAACTGCTACAATTATATTTTTTAAGGCAATTTACTAAAAAGTTGTTTTGACATAAAATCCAATTAATAGAGGCTAGGCACAGATGGGCTAAGCAGCTGTCCATGCTTCAAAAAACCATTTGTTTCCAACTTGCCAAAGGTACAATGTCTAACTGTGCTCTTTGCTACATTGCTTTTCATTTTACAGCTAAAAGATAACCTTGAGGACTGTTAAAGCATCCATAATTGATATGAGGCAATTTTAAAAATTGGGACTCAAACTCTATCAGTTGTCCATTGATTTTTCATAAAATTGTTCAACAAAGCATTAGAATGTGGCCCTATATTCATGGCATCATCATCAACTGTGCCAGCTTTGTTTATTGGGGCTGAAGGAAACACGGTGTTAAATAAGCATTTGTAATCACCCCCACAGGGTTTTGTTTTTTAAAGCAAACAACATCAGCTGATGGGGAGGAAGAATTTGATATAT